TTTTTGTTAAAAATTTAATTTTTGTTGCTCGACATACAGTCTCAATAAATGTCTGTTAAGTCAATGTTTAAAAAACCATTATCCATAATAAAATAAATTAAAAAAACAAATGAATTTTTGCGTTACCTTTGACTTGGTTAAAGTCGTTGACGTACGTTTCTATTGCACTTTTGAATGGAGGTATTGACGCGAGATAGCCACAGACGTTTGACAAAAAAATGTATATGCCGTTATCTCGTAACCTGCAATATAAATCGTATGTCAACAGTGTCGCACAAATGTAATTTTCACTTGCAACTGAATGCTATTGAGTAATGCGTGTACCAAATAAAATTCGACCTGAACCAGTTTAGTATTGTATGGACAATAAATGGCCGAGGTACCATTGAAAACGAGGTATTTCATTCCGAAGTCATGCAAGTCGAATATTTGACCATCATTTCCATATATTTGAGAATTGCTTTCTTCTTTTTAAAAGAATGTACTAACTAGCCAATTTGGAGTACGATGAGATTCAACGTTTTTTTTATGCAATCTATTATTTTTGTGTTATCCATTTAAAATGATTTAGCAAATAAGTTTCAGTTATGTTACCCATCGACTAATTTCGAAGCCATTTTCTTAAGTGTGTCATCATCATATGAATATCTCTCTCCTGCCACATTCAAACATGCTATGTTCATAGCCGCATATAGAAACAGATCCTGGATATGAATTGCATAAGTTGGATATGGCTGAAATTGTCTGAAAATCACTGGGGACATGGTTTTTTGGCAGCTTTCAGAAAAATACAAGAACAGATTTTGAGGATGAAATATGTAGTTATGTTCTGTCACGGTAAAAAGTTTATATTTTAGATAGTTGGAATTCTATTTTTGAGAGCAATTTGAGAAAAGCTGAAGTCTCTTAATGTATTTATGAGATTATGTCAAATGAATGAATTCCGACTGATCCAACAAGAATGAATATTTGGGTCATTCTGTTTGGAAATCATAATATTTAATTATATCAGAATATCCTGAATCACTCATTTTTTTATTAATATTGGACACGAAGTGGAACTATGGATCGTTTTGTTATTATTATTATTATGTTGTTGTTAGTGTTCTTTTCCTTATTGTTGATGCCATTGAAAAATCACTTTTTTCTCAAGATACTGGACCAATTGCTTTGAAATATTTAGTTGTTGAAGATTGCTGTTGTCGTTAGAAAGCGATTACTTACTTAGTAAGTTTCTGTAGGCTCTATGAAATTCGTTTTCCTTATGAAGTTCTATGCGATGACGTCATCAGAAATTAAAGATTGCGCACCGTGTGATGGTTCCACGATCTGGTTCTCAACAAAGTCGAGTATTGTTATAAGGAAAACTGCCGGTACTGTATTTGATACTACTTCGTTTTGGCTTTCGTCTCCAGCATATATTTGAGCATTCTTTTCTTCTATGCTCATTATTATCCTCTGGCTTGTGCGCTGGCTTGTATTGCATTTGAAGCTTTCAGTCACGTACTTTGGGCAAAATAATTTTCCACAATTTGAAGGACGCGCTCTGTACAAGCGTAATCCCTAACGGAAAATATTAGATAATCGCTAACTAATTTGAAAACTGTATTTAACCTCTTCAAAGCTGTTTGTTGGAAAAAGTTCAAGACGAAGTTTCCTTCAATAAATGGCCATCTTTGCTATTATATGAATACTTGTTTTACAAAAGTTAAACACCAATGGAATGCCGATCTGACTTGCAACATCGGATCGGACCTCAATACTAAATCACAATGGGAATAAAGTTACCTTAGGATCAAACGGTTTACCACCTTTTTCTCGAATAGCTTGAATTAAATACGAGGTTTCTTCATGTATTCTATTTGCCATCGAGCTTTTGCCCATTCCCAGCCTATCAAAAGAGATCGGGATTGACATAAAAATAGCAGGTATGCTTGTATTTAGCATTATTTAGCAGATAGTTATTACTCTGTTTGGAATATCAAGTAGGGTCGTAAAAGGGAACGTCTTTATGATACCTTCCGTTTATAGTACAAATATTTATTTAGCTGGGTCGAACCCGAAGCTTAATAAGACAAACCAGTATCGTTTGAGAATGCAGTACACATACTCCCTCACATGCCGATGAAATTGGGATAGGTGAAACTCCTTGGTCAAAGCTATCGATCATTTTAGGTAATTGGTAATGAAATTGCAAATTACCTTTTTTCTATTCTAAAAGTTCCACCAAAATTGTTTATGAAGTGATCTGCAGCATCTACATTCAATATTGGACGATAAAAGCGCACAGGACAAGGTATTTGGTACAGTTAAATGTCAATCGAAAACCTTTTGTCTTTCATTATTCCTCTTTTTCAGTTAAATTGTCTACATGTACCTTTTTAAAGCCTGCAGAGTGAAAGGTCTGTGAATTTCCACCACATCCAGGTCTGCAAAAACGATTCCTCGGCCCTGGTTGGTCGCATTAAAAACGTGTGCTGGTGGTCGAGAACCCAATTTCGATGACTGGCGAATATTAACCTACATATAATAAAGTAAAAATATCTTATTGTTCAAATAATTTAAATGCAAATTAAAAAAAAAAGCGAAAAAAATTGCAGGAAAATTTTGTTACTCGGAAAGTTCTCAACATATATATCATCACAATGCTGACGATGCGATTGTCAAATATAACAGTGATGGCCAAATGCACCTATTCAAGTGGGAATTGTTGTAGTGTGTCATTCATTCAGCGCATTGCTTTCATCATATCCAGCGTTTCAACACGTTTGAGTAAACGTTCAGAATCTTCTCTGACTTGAATACCCAAAGAAAATTGTCCGCCGATCTCACTGCATTTAGATCACATTGGGATTATTGTCTTTAATTTACACTTACGTCATAAATATGTTCATAGTCGGTCAGAATCACCAAATCCTTGTTACCAAATCTTGCGGTATAAGCTTTTCCATACTTTTTTGACCATTCAGTTATGGCTTTTGCTGGATGTTTACCAAGAAATGGAACCACTCCTAAGAATGGTATTCCTCTTGGTCCTGGTGGTAATCGATGGTCTCTTCTGTACCAATTCATGAATAATCCAATGATGGATACGATGAGGAGAGTGATGACAAAATTAAGCATATTTGAATATAGGCAGCGGCTGGGTAAATATGAGAAAGCAACAATTTTAAAACCATGCTCAGATATCATAGAAAACGACATTAGGATGTTTTTATTCCTGATATTGCAAGGATGTATATATTGTCTCGTGATTGTACTTACACATGTGCAATTATTGTCCACTCAGCCAGTTTATTGTTTAATTCACACATTCTGATGTCGTAATTACAAAGACAAGCTGGATTTAAAGCACTACTACTAACCGTCGGTATATCTCGGTTATTACCATTCTATAACGATTTCTTCTAATGCCCAAACATTTGTTAATTCCCACTGACAATAAGAATATTTGCTGATGACGTAACTAAATCGGACAATGATTTTGCAATGATTAACTTTGGAAGTCAAACAAGGTTTATATTTGCAATTATGCTATATGGCAGACGATACTCTCTAACGTTGAAGATCGGCTGTTTGACGCAATGAAAATTATCTGGCAACACAATCGTTCGACATGACTATATCGATAGTAGTGCGGGTCCAAATCTGGCACTTCGGTTTTAGTTAACTGGATGATCACATGAGCATTTTACTGCTCTATTTTTGATATGAATGAATAGCCTTACAGAATCAGTTTGCGAATGCGACCTGGTCTAAACAGGACCCGAATTGTTAGTTTTGCACATTACATGAAATACGTGCGTCATCGATACAGAAAAGAGAAAAAAGTTGTTACAACGGCAGCAGACAGAAACATTACTTGATTTCGATGGAGGCTTTGTACATCAAATTTACATTTCGAAAACTTCAAGTGGAAACTTCTGAATATTTCAGAAATTGATTGGCGGAACACTGCAGCGTGACATTTAATGTATAATACAGATTTGACGAATTGGTTACGTTTTATCGTATATTCTGTTTGTTTGAATTTTTTATATTAAATTTGGCTAATTCGATTAAATCACTGATATACATATACATTGTAACACTGATTTCTGTCTCGGTCGCATTTAAAATTGTAAATGGAATACTAAAACTGACAATATTCATGTTTTAATCTGCAAAATTGATAAGATGTCCGTGATACCCCTTTTTCTTACTGATTTTTCTTTCTCCACTGTCGTAATAGGCCTTTACTATCAAACTTCATAATAGCAAGCCGCTTTTGTTGCTGCGATCGTCAACAAATACAGAATAAAATCATATTTTTCTGAATATTGGCATTCATAGCAGGAATTTACCCTTCCATCATTTTTTGTCAAACCAGTATGTACACTGTAATGGTGACATACGTGGGAAAATAAATTGAGTTCACCAGTAAAACGGGGTAAGATTTAATACCATATTTTGTCCCATATACGTTACATATACGTTACATCGCAGATAGGCTACATAGTTTTACCGCGCATATAATTTGCCATGTAATCTTTCTTTGTGGGTTTGCTGTAATAGGACGGAAAAAAATATTTTCGTTATGATTAGTTTGTTACTAAATGCTTTAAGACTACTCGACATATACGCATAGAAAGCCACTATATTTGAGAGCGCCGTAATATTTATATCTGTGTCATATCGTCAACTTCACCCTGCGACGTCAAGATTCTGAACAACTACTACCATATTCTCAAATCCATAAAACTCTTAACAAATAACTGAAATTGTATCTTGTATTCATAAAGATAAAATTAGCATATTATTGCCCATATTATATAGAGCAGACAGCAAATTTAAATAAATTAAACATTTTACGATTCAGGCAAAATTGTGCTAGAATGTATTTTGCTAAAATACGAGAAGCATCAAGAGAAAAAACATGAAGAGAAATTACAAATTGTCTTTTTTCGTAAAATTATATAACTTGATTATTATTTTCTCGAAATTATTTTTTGACAGAGGTGTATGATCCACTGTTTCTGCTATTTATCATGAAAATTAATCCTAATCAGACAAATCGGTGTAATCGTTTTTACTTTAAAAACGTTGAAATCGTTTTAATCGTACGGAATTTTTTTTGCAGTATTTTTATAGCCTTACAATTACAGGTCAAATAGAAAGTTGTCATTGTTGTCATCATCATGTTAAATTACACCTTAATCTTAGTTATTCTTTATCAGTCATAAGTAGCTTTATTGGAGGTGGTGTGTACAGAACACCTTCTATACCGTCATCCAACGATGGCAATGGAGCACCGTCTTCAATGGATATGTCGAAATTTTGAATCAAGGTTACCACAACAATGAAAAGCTCCATTTGTGCCAGTTGCTCGCCAAGACAATTCCTTTTCCCAATTGCAAAAGGAATCCAGTATTTTGATTTCTGGAAGGTCCCAGTTACCGGGTCGATGAATCTTTCAGGTTTAAATTTCTCTGGCTCGGGGAAAAACCGAGGATCGTTATGAACCGCCCAAGCAATCGAATAGATCTGAAACACATTAAGTGAAATTTATTATTGCATGTGCAGTAATTAAGAATTGATATCATGTGGTTGTTGAATTGAGCAATCAATATGTAAATTTGGGCTACTAATCACTGCTGCGCATGGTATGAATCCACGATTATTACAGATTTTAAAAATATGTGATTATTTCATTTGCCGTTCAATGCCAATTGTTGAAGCGTAAAGGGTTTTCTTATCAGCAGAAATGTACTGGACATGATATCGCTGATTTCCTCGAATAGTATATCCAGTTTGAGTACTACGGTACTAAGAACTGAAATATGCACAAAGTGTACCGAATCTCTTGCTGTGATGACGATCACGAGTTTATTCTTTTTACGCTCACGCACTAACACAGGGGTGTGCGACCCGCGGGCCAAATGCCCACAAGGAAAACTTGTGCGGCCCGCGAAAAAGCGCTACTTTTGAATGGTGTGCGGCCAGCGAAATGAGTTTTCAATTTAATCTAGTATGTTCGAGTAATTCCAATTCCTGTGCGTTGCAGTGCCTACATCTGAGCTTGTGCAAAGCAAAGGCATGTCACAAGATCAATAACCAAACATTTTGTGTCTGCAACTGCTAGAAAGCCTATGTTAAGTAAAGGTGCGTCCCGCGGTTTCATCCAGTTATTTGTATCTGACCCTCGTGTATTAAACGTTGCACACCCCTGCAATAAAATAATATCGACCTGAATACACAGTTATCATCTAAATGATCGGAGATGACAGGTTGAACAAAAATATATGTGTACCCCTGTGTTTTTTGGTAACTTGTAACCATTGACTTCAACTCCGTCCACCATAGAGCAGCTATCAAATATTTTGACAAGTGTGCATTTACGCATCAGTTCATACAAAAATGCCTGGGTGTACGGCATGTTCTTGCGATCCGCTATAGAAACTTTTTTGCCACAACCTAAAATGTAAGCAAAGGGTGTTTAAAAAGAATAGGCGAGTAGTCTTTCGTGGCCCACTTTCGCTGCACAAAAATTCTATTGTTTGCATTACTAAATTACAATTTAGTAACAAAAAACAGCATTATCATTCATTTTTAATACAATCAAATTTAACTAATAGCAATTTTTAATAGATTTGTGGCCCACCTGAAATTTTTTCTGTAGCCCTGCAGTGGGGATGGCCTACTGGTTGAGAACCAGTGGTTTAGATATACACAAGTAAGCAAACTTACCAACCACGTTGTTTACTTCCTTCTCCATTAGCTTGTGATATTTTGGATAGTTAAGCAACGCAATCATGCACCATTGCAAAGTACACGAAAGAGTTTGTGATCCTGCTTCAAGTAAACCAAACAATGTCGTCTTCAGTTGGCTTTCCTGATTACAGGAAAAGTAATTTATAGTAATTAACAACTCTAGGATTGTAATAAAAAAAACTCATCTCCAATGTTTCATTCAATTTTTTTCAAGAGTATGTATGTTAAAGTAACTAAAAAATAGCTGAGACTCAGCTGTGATTTTGCATAAAAAAGTGAAGAGCCGGTCTCCCACTTACTATCTCTATGTTCATTGTTTGGATATAATGTAACCACACCCTGACTGATACCAATCGACTGTTCTTACAACGATTGATTATACTGTTGCATATTGTTTAAATGTATAAAATTCAATTCTTTACATTGAATGATAAATGATGATCTTCTTTTTTCATTTCCCGAAGAAAAATGTCAATATAATCCCGCAAATCATTTTCATCGTACGAGTCTCTGTGTTCTTGTATCTTTTCTTGGGCTAAATCTGCACAAAGAGCAACAAACCGGTTTAACATTATAAGTAGCAATTATAAACTAAACAAGTGATAGTTCGCCGAGTTTTCGTTGTTAAACCATGCAAATTGAAGATGCAATTAAAATATACAATATTTAAAAATTGTACTCGATGTACCAGTATTTTTTCGCTTAAACTTTAAACAGTTACATTACGTGACCTGCAGACGGAAGAAGTCAGAGCCCGAATACAATTATTTATACAGTTAATGAATAGAATCACATTCTTTCACCTGCGATACGATGCATATCATCCACATATCCTTTCATTGCATTTTTAAACGGCGGGATTGATGCCAGATAAGAGCAGGTGTTTGTTAATAAAATGTACATGCCATTGTCCCTTAATCCAAACAATGAGAAAAGAAGTTTTCGGCAATCCTTGATATCAGTACATACAACGTTTTGCATTTATTTTCGGGTTCGAGAATAACAACTTTTGTACCACTTAAATTTGTTACTTTATTCTTTTAAGCACCGTTTATTCGTTATTACATTGTATAAAACCATTGTTTTGGTTTACTGTCTGCAAATAATTCAGTCCGTTCATACTCAATAATTAATGTATAATAATAATAATACCGTACGCTAACTTACCCACGAATCAGTAGTGTTCCAGTTGTCTTTAAGGTCTTATCATCGTATGAATACCTCTCGCCCAAAAAATTCGAACATGATATGTTCAAAGCAACGTACAGGAACAAATTCTGAAAACAATTTCACAAAAGGTCTCTCAAAATAGGTTTTGTGAAATTTAACACTTCCATCGGTTTTGGAAAAAATTTCACCCGCTCTCTCAAGTCGCAAATTAATACTTCTTGTCTTGATCTCAATGTCTGTTCATATAACTTAATCTGCCCTTCAACGCAGACCATCTTCGGACTATTAGTCTTACCAGGTCAAACCAAAAATTTGGATTTACGACCATAGGAAATCTAATAAACAGCTTTAATTTAAATTCAATCCCAACCCCGAATCCGTTGAAGTAAATTGTACGACTCTAAGTTAAGAACATTCGCTTTGTGATGCAAGCCAGGTATAAAATAAACAAAAAATTGAATTAACAAGGCATTTTATTTACCGAATATTGAGTCAATCATTTACCTTGGGGCTGAACGACTTTCCTTTTTTCTCTCTGATAGATTGGATCAAGTATGTCGTTTCTTGATGAATTCGATTTTCCATTGCACTTTTACCAACTCCCAAACTATAAAACAGTATCAATACCGAAAATTATTCAGAATTATTACTTCATTCATCCCCTTTTTAGCAACCTACATCCAAATGTGAAAATATCTTCGAAATTGCAATGTTTTGGAAGGTTAACTTGTAGATGGCAATAAACATGTTATTTTTGTTTGTAGGCAAAATCCATCATAAAAAAATTGGGTACTCCCGAAGTATGTGAACCAAGATGGCGGACACCGGAACCTAGTATGTGTACCGAGTTAGGCTTAGGCCATAATTTCAGGTACAAATACTACGGGGGTCACTTGGATAGTCCCCGAACTCGTAATAGAACTAAAATAAGGAAAATTGGAATAAAATTATTGCCTAACTCTAAACTGGTACACATACGGTGTCCGCCATCTTGGTTCACATACTTCGGGAGTACCTAAAATTATAGGTAGAAATGTATATGAAATAAATATTCGCTGTACCTTCTCAACGCATGCAATGTAAAAGGCCTATGAACTTTTATGACGTCTGGGGTTGCAAATACTATTCCCTGGCCTTTGGCGTATGCGTCGAATACAGTGAACGGTGGTCGAGCTCCCATTTTACCAGTTTGACGAATATGCACCTGTAAATGGTTAAATAACTTTTTAAATTATCGACGGAAATTCATTGAATACTTTTTGATTTTTTGATACAAATTTTGTCAGAATTCGACATTCAAGTTATCGAGGTTTACTGTGTAAAACAATATAGAGGGCCTAATATAGAGAATTTATTTATCACCCCTGAAACATCGCATGTATCGATTCACCATGACCTTGTGGGTAATCACAAAAGGCTAAAATGTTACGGATTTACACACAGAAAATTGCTTTCATTCTAGTCCTTCATTGGTTATCTCGTTGTCATTTATTGAGTTTACATGCCTCTATCTATAGGCGAATTAAGATAACCAAATGCTCAGGAGTCAGGAAGCGCTTCTTTCAATGTAAAATTGAAAATATACAAATAGCTTCATTTGCATTTACTATCATGTCTTTTAGGTACTTAGAAAGTCTTCATGAAATTTTTTTAACGACTTCATGTGAAAACTATCTTGATCACAATTCACGTCTTTCTTCGACAACCAGCAATCGAGATTTATAAAAACAAACGCAAGTTGCAAAAGTTAATACTCACGTCGTAAATGTCTTCATAGTCTGTTAGTATTACCGTCTCCTGATTACCAAGTCTAACCGTGTATGCCTTACCGTACTTTTTGGTCCATTCCATTAATGTTTTTGCTGGTTGTTTTCCAAGAAAAGGAGTCACACCTAACATTGGTATTCCTCTTGGTCCAGGTGGTAAGCGACTGTCTCTTTTATACCAATATAAGAACAATCGAGTAATGCATGCCACAAACAAAGCGATAATGACCACGAACATTTTACCTCATAATACCCACAATGAGTGATGACACTGTAAACTTATGAAATCGATGAAAAATACATTATGGTTAGCAATAAATACAGATCAAATTATGGATATATATATATATAAAAGCGTATACAGCAAAGTAGTTTTCTCAAACGAGCATGTGCCGCCTAATCACTCGCTAAGTGGAGGGAACTGTGTGTTTGCTGCTTCAAATGACATCTTATGCTGAGGCTATGACCTGCTTCAAACTAGGACATCACCAAGTTTGCTTGTTAATGATTAAATTTACAAGTTGCGGCATATACTCCTGAACGGATCCTGTGTAGCTTGTTTTGGAGATGTAAGTTAACTGGGGTAAACAAATAACATGCGATTTTATATCTGTTCATTCACTATATTAACAAAAAAACTACAAATGAGAAATGTTATCAGCCAGCCTTATTCATGAACAACTTAATCTTGCGGGGAAGAATGTCTGGAGCAGTCAAAGTTTATCAACATACTTCTTCGAAATCAACCATGTAATAAATTATGTAGGGCAAGCAAACCAACACTCTTCCGGCCCATAGTAATTTTCTAGGTAACGGTGAATACTTCTCCAGAGTCTTGTTTGCAGCGAAATAACTCCTACATATTTTATACAGTATCAAAAATAGAAATGATTCCGAACATTTTTAACTTTTGGATGTGATGTACCGGGAACAAAATATGGACAAATGAAAGGAAAATTGAGAAATTTGAAAAGATTAACGAGAATATTGGTAACATAGCTTAAAAGAAGTTAACACCGTTCTATTAGGAGAAGTTTGGCGTGGCGGACAGACGAAATACTTCAACCAGCTTACTATAAAATCAAATAACTAGTGTTTTTGAGTCTTGAAATTCTTCTCAATTGCAAAGAGGTTACATCGATACAATTTATATAATATACTGTATATAATACAATTTGTTGGTGTAATATGGGTATATTAAAATTAAATGAAGTAAAGAACTTACATAAACCCTGGTTAAAAACAAATCTGGTTAAGATATATATATTGAAAACTAACTTCATACTTAAATTGAAATTGTAACAGGACTTCATGAAAACCCTGTATATATGTTTTATTCTCTTGTAATGCCGCTGTAATGTAAATAGGCAAGTTTTTTTTTATTTTTTATTTTTATTTTTTTATTCAAAAAGTGAAATAAAAAGCACTTCGCAAAATAGCATTTCGTGCTGTACAATGGAAAATCTGTCACTAAAATGTTGTGAAAAAAAAAACACTTCATCGTCACGCTAATACCCGAATTGCGTAAGTCATTTTTAGCAGTTTTGAGAAAAACGTAAAAAACTTCCTAATGATATTGTTATGCCATTGAGAGTCAATAATTTGCCATGGTTCAGTTTTTTGATTGTAGCCGGATTTAAGTTAATTTGTATGACGCAGTCAAGTGACGTCATAATGGCGCATTGTTACTTAGGCAGAAATGTGTCTATGACTTGGGGACATACGCAATTTTGCAACTTTACTATATGCACCAGTCCTGAAAACAAAACATTCCAAAAACGAATGTAATTATCAGTACATACAATGTCTAATCCCCAAAATAGCTAATCAGTTTCAATTACATTATTTTTTATGTTTAGAAAAATATATTTCATCAATATAACACGTTCTGCACACCCACCGAAATAAGACAGCAAATCACCTAATATAAAAGCCAACCAAGGTGAATTGATCTCGGACAGTGAATATAGTAAGTGCACGCTTTCCTATACTGTAGTATAAATTCAAATTAATACGCGCTAAGCTAGAATCCGAGTGGCAAAAACTCGAAAATACTTAGCCGAGGTTATTTTGCCTTTGTGACGTCACAATAGTCCTGCGGTAACAATGATAATTCATTATGACGAAACAATTGCACAAATATGCATGTTATACTAAATCTCCATTTTTATGGTTTTTGGAATTCTTAAATTAAAATCTGCGTTAACAGAGAGGTGCGCAGCATTACATAAATACCCATTTTATAAACAAGAGAGCTATGCTCAAATATATGCCCACGTAGCGCCACCCAATGGCAATAATTTTGATGACGTCATAGCGAAGAAAAAAAAGTAATAGCCTTCTGGAGAAAAATTTCATCTTTAACCACTGAAAATTTCAAAGCAATTGGTCCAGTATTCGAAGAGAAAAGCGATCTTTTAAAAATGATGGAGACAAATAACAATAACAACAAAATTTTGAAACGATCGTTATGTCCACTAAACGTGTCCAAAAACTCAAAATCGCCAAAAATGACTTACGCAATTCGGTTATTAGCGTGACGATATATAAAACCGTTATCCGCAGGAGGGTGACATTGAGTCATATTCAAGCCCCTCTGAAAGTGCAATATCAATCGTCGCCAGTTGATTGGTATGCCGCCCCACCTCGATACTTCCCATGAAAACTTTCTCTTGTCTGTGCTCCGATGAAGATACTGAATTGTACACTTAATCGATGGAATTGTATCTTTTTTCTATTTAAAAATGCGACTCTTTTTATTCCTATTCTGTCAATCTTTTCCGTCACCAGGACGTTATAACGAAAACAATATTATTATCAACATATAAGTATGAGATACAATCGACAGGCATGCGAGCCTATTAGTATCTCTAACATGGGCGACAATGCATGTTTATGTGTCGAATCTTGGTTGTTTCATCGGACTCATTTTATTGTCTTCAAAGTCTATATCGGTCCGTGTTGACTACGATTTTGCGATCGAACTGCGATCGGTTCTAAGACATTTAACGTGCTGAGGAAAATATAGAACACAATTTGCATTATTTTGTAGTGATTATTCTTGGTATTCAGGGTTGCCCCCGAAATTTAACTAGCACTAAGCAAGTATGGTAGCGTAATATTCTTTGAATAATTGTCCATTGTCTGACAACGCTGAGACCAGCTTTTGGCAGATGGTTGAGCCTATTTGTGCAGTCAGTTTAAGATACAGTTTACACTCTGCTCACAACTTTCAAAAAATATCAATATATATACTTCGAAGTAAAGTTCGAATTTTATTCCTATCATATGAATATATACAAATAACCTACCGGTTCATTGGATATTAGTTCGGATACACAACCAGGCAATATATAAATGTGTTTTATGACGTTACGTTGACCCAGCCTGTTACATTGTATTATTATTTTGGGGACTAATTTGGTCAAATTAAACTGCTAATTAGTGTGATTCAGCTGTAATTGTTCAGCTGTGTGTTTCAAAGCAGATATATGATTTTCAATGTCGATGCACAGGCAACGTCGTCGAACATACGTTGTTCTTCTGTGGCGCGTTAGGTAATTAATTCGGACAGATATTCCGCCAGCTAAGCAGGCGGACAGCTGGCCACACCACTTCGTAAATACAGCTTTAAAACTAAAGTCTCGAGAGCTGTAAAGCGTTTTTGTGTCGCAAGGTGCAGAAATGAGAAGCAAATTTGATTAGGAAGCGAATCGCGCCTGATCACTTCAAGAGTCGCTGAAAGTGGGCTCTCATGATCAAAATTGGCGCAGATTGTGCCTACGGGGAAAGTATTGTTTCAAGACCGAAAATCTTCGTTCTCGAGAATGGATAATAAAATTGCATATTATTATTACGGTAAAATAATACCACAACAACAACAACAACAAAACAATCTATAATACCACTTTGTCCAATAATGGTATTCCCTTCATTGTGCTGATTTTTTCTCACTTTGTGGTATGAAGGAGTTCATTGTGACGATACTTCACTAATGTGTAACTAATTGGAATCTTGAAAAAAGTGTAAATTTTTACACAGAACACACTAATATTTAGTAACTAACCTTCCTTAGATAAGCAATGAAAGTTTTAACTGTATTTTAATTTGATGGAGTTTCAGGAACATTTTAATGCATGGTAAAGATGGCTGTATTCCTATCAAGGTAAGTGAAATCAATAAGTTTTATCATTTTTTCGTAAACTGTTCGTCATGTGCAATTCTGCATTAGGTAAGCATTTTACTTTATTCTCAGTTCGGAATATGATTATGATGGACTATATTATTAACTGTCATGTAGCGGCAACTCTAATTTAATCAATCATCTCTTTGAAGCCAAAACTTTACTGTCAACAACAATTGGCATGGACGCAAGTTAATTCATTTGTTCCATAAAAGTCTACAACATCCAAATGCGCGGGAGATGAAATGATAGAAGTTACCGTGATATGGACTATGGGAAAACTGCTTATTATAAGTTTACAAGACTGTACAGTGTTAAATTGCGTCCCGGGCGTATTTCGCCGCCAACTGGAGATGACTATGTGCAGTAAGTTCTCACCAATCGCGTGAGAAATAGGCCTGGATTTGTTGTCGAGCATGTTTCACCTGGTGCTTGCTTGAGTTTTCCCGCCGATTTCATCGAAATCCCGCGGGTAAAGCGTCATCATCCTCGCATTATGACGCAACAGAAAACTTAATATTTATTCACATATTACACTGATTTATGTTGTTGGGAACTGTGCGTGTACCTTTGGGATCAACAGGACAGTTACACGATATTCATTAGCACTATATATGTCAATCGACTGGTAAAACGTCCAATAGTATAATATAGCATATCGCTTTTAACGAAGCATTTACCGACAAAAAGCGGTTCTTTCCGACACAAATATGAAAAAAATACTTTTGAACAATACCGATAGAGTCCAAAAGTCAAATATTGAAAATATTATGTTTGCTATACTCATCCAAGCTTGGTAAAACAACAAATTTTTTTTTCGAATGGTCCAAATGATTTAGTATAAACGTAAATCAAATTAATACGAAGAAAATATGTGGGTGGGATGTGGTAGGGGAGTCATATCGTCCCGAAGGCTAGAAACTCGAAAAGAAATCCCGATCACAGCATATTCATGCACTCTTGCTGATAGATCTAATATCATGTTACGGGAGGTTTATGTCATCCGACGGTAATTACATCACTGCATGTGATATGCTATGTTGAAATTGCGGAAAAGCCATAAAAGGTCAAACCATGCCGTGCTATGAGGTAAGTCAGTGAAAAGTTACGGCTAAAATTTTATCTGACGTGTTTTATTTGCGGTTAATAAAGTGATATAGGTTCTTTTATCCGCAATTATTGATGCTTCTCAAAATAACTAACCATCATTTTATAAGAATTTTTACGCCCGCGCTCGTGTGAAGCCTTTAATAAGTATAATAATATTTTTTGAATGAACACAATTTTTTCAATTCAATTTACAAGACTTTTGCATGGGATTGAACATGAAATCATTCACCAATGATGTCTACATAGTTAGAACAGATCCTTATGTATTATGAGTTCAAAGTCAATTCAAAATCAAGAGATACACAACTCAGTGGTGAATTCTATTTCTCCGTTGAGCGTTTCCGCTATTGAGTGTATACGTGCGAGTTTGAACGAACGGGAAAATTACCACAATCCGCAAAATCTTTAGAGTATTAAGGAGTACTAAGGAGCTGTCAGAAGAAAGAAGGTTAATAATATTTCGTGAAATAGATTTTTTTAATTTTATTCTAACGATTTATTTTAAAACAAAATACTATAAACACGAAAATTAATTATCTGGTTTGAATTCAGAAAAAAAGATTTAAGACATGTTAAAGATTTATTTTGTGCGCAGAATGAACTCATACTTGAGTCACAATTTAGGAGAAGCAGATGAAAACTTTCCTCGGTAATAAATTCTCGAATTTGCGCTTGAAATCATAGAATCGATTCAAAAAGTTAAATTTCGCTATGATGAGTGATCCTCGTTTTGCGACATTCGGTGTCTATCGGCACGAAGTCGTGGTTGGAATCCATGGAGGTATATGACTAAAATTTATATTTCGAAAAAAAAATTACTTTCATAAATAATTTTTTGACAATTTGACAATTTTATTGGCATCAAACTACTCAGATATGCAAAGTAGA